AAACACTGCTGCACATCATCTCGCTCCCTGTCGCTGGCAGCTCCAATCTGCTCACCAGGTTTTTCTCTGTCATCCTCCTTCCCACCCCCTTTTGTTCTCTGCATGAACTCTCTGGCTTTTGTTGTTAGATCCCGCTCTCAATACCATCAGTACTGACCCGACCAACTTTCTGTCAGTACACACAAACACTCAGGCACTGAAATACCCTTTCCTCAGTGCCAGGCGAGAGCAGAAAGGCAGAAGAGGGGCTAAAGCAGCTGTGGTTTTGGAGTAGTTCTCTGAACACACACACCCCTTGCTGCCCCCTTCTCCATCTCCTCTCTGGCTCCTCTAGGGACACAGGCCTTGGCCAAGCCCCAGGAAGCAAGGAGTCAAGATCAGGCTGAGGGGGAGAAAAAGGGGGAACAGAAGAGGGAAGGGTATCACAAAAGAAAGGAGGAAAACAGAGCTTAGCTAATATGCAAGCATTGTTAGGAAACATTTTCTGCAGAGAAAATTATATGTTTGTTATAAGATTTACAAAATGTCCATAAAAACAGTTTTCTGTTGTCTTGTTATTCAACTTTGGCTGCTTATAAAGTTATTAGACTTCCAGTTTTGTTAAAATAAAATAAACAATTTATCACCAATTATAGGGGAAGGCATCCTTCATCCAGGTATTCTAATTTCAAACACTAAAGCTTCTTAAAAATATATCTATATTACAACTACAAACTTTGTAGGCCTATTATAATAATATCTCTTATTGGCCTCGGCAGATGGTCGCTCACACTAAGTCTGGTTCTGCTGGAGGTTTTTTCCTGTTAAAAAGGAGTTTTTCCTCTCCACTGTCGCTACAAGCATGCTTATGTTTGCTTGCCAACATACATCTTGGTACTGAGTATTCATACCTCAGCATAAAATTGTCATGTAATAACAATTTTATGCTGAGGTATGAATACTTTTGGGGTTACTCGTATGTTTTTAAATGTCTTTTTGGTGGGCCGTGCAGCTGACGCAGTGGTTAGCGCACACGACCATGTACCCATGCATGTCTTTCCCCCTCTCATGCCCCCTTTCCTTTCAGCTTACTGTCAAAAAGACTTAGGGGGTCTTTTTAGTGCAAGGGAGTTAAAAAAAAACAACAACAACCCAATCAAAATAAGATTTATAAATGAGCTTGAGAAATTGAGCAAAACTAATACTTGCCAAAGCTAGATGACAAATTAGTCTTTTCATTAAACTGAAATAAAATTTGATGGAAAGTAGTCTTCTCTTCTTAACTAAAGTATTTTGAGACAGTTGTAAAATACACTATATTTTAAATACATTTTATGTTTTAACTTATTTTCATCACAGATTGTGTAGTTCAGCTTGATCAATCTCTGTTGACCTTTAAAATACTCAAAGAAAAATACTTCTCGTAATGAAAAATTGTCATTTAACGTGTTACTTGTAAAATTACAGGTACAGACTGATAATTAAATGAAATAAATTTATGACGCATTTTACATAAAAACTGATCATAGAAGCAGGCAAACTGATCAATCCAAATTATAACTGGGATTAAGTTTGCTTATTGGGGGATTTTTTTTGATAGAAAAAAATAAAAATAGAGTATAACGAGAATGGAAAAATTAATCCGAGTTTTTTACGTTTTACAAATAGAAATATTCAGTACATTACGTACATTCGGTCCCAAATGTCAGTTACTTCTCATTACATTTACATCACTAAGCCGTTCTTCCATAGGTCTGAGCATTATAACTAAATAAGTTCCTTTGACCTACATTGTTGTAACTCAGGCTTAATGTTAATACTTGTTGCCTTGCTGGAAGGAAAACTGTTAAGCCTATTGTAGCTTCTAACAGGGTTTCTTCAAAGATGCCCCCTTTTACCTCTGCATCCATCCTTCCATTGGCTCTGAATGGCTGTCTAGGACACTTTCCACCCAGCATGATGCTGCCGCTACTTTGTTATAATGTGGTGTTTCAGGTAGCTTGCAGGGTGTTGATAGATCAGACTCTTTACATCTTGTGATTCAGGGTTTGGCCATGGCGTTGATATAAAATTTAGGTGTTCATTAAAAAATACTTGAAATACTTCCCTCAGATGAATCATTGCCAGTTTTCTGATGTTCTACATTGGCTGTCCTTTCTCCATAAATTAGAAAATATATTGAAACTATATAATTAGTAATTTCCTAGGACTCTTATTTCCCCCCCAAAAATACTTATGAGTTGTGGAAAATTAAGTACTGGTAATGCAATTTTCATGAGATTATCTCCAGTAACATTTACTATCCAGCGAGAACGGAAAGAGAAATAACATTATAACACTTTTGCTCTATGCTTTACTGACTTGTTAAATCGCTGAGCATGGTTGGCTAGAGATGTTTGTGGGATGCCTTTGCAAAAAAATTATCCTTTTGTAATTAAGTTCAGTTTTATTCTAAGTGTTTTTCTTAACCTGTGCCTTTGGGAGCGGTTCAAGTTTCTTTTGTGTGACTAAAGAAAAAAGTATAATCTGCTTGTCCTATTACCCTGGATTCCTGAAATGGTAAGAGTTTGAGCCCCTTCTCCCCCCTCTGTGTTTTATGGGCTGTGTGCTGCGGTGCTGTGACCTCCCTCTCACCCTGGTGCCACCCAGCCAGTGCAGGATTCAGGCACATTCAGGGCCCCTGCCAAAACCCCATCACACCACATCTGCAATCCATAAACGCTAGGCACTCTCACTCCTCTGCCCACATTCCCTCAGACTTGCACTCATCTGTTTCACTCTGTCTCTTTGTCACCCACTAGTGTTTTATTTTAGTTTCCAAATGTATTCACCCCACATTCTTCTTTTCTTTTTACACTGTTCATCCCTTATCTTTCACTCCTCCCCCATCCCCTTTTTCTTCCCCTCTCCTTCCATTTCTTTATCCACATCCAACGGAAAAACCTCTCACCCATTATATCTCTGGTGAGAGCCAACTTGAGTGTGGTGGCAGTGAACTGGGAACCGCAGGACATTCCTGATCCCAGCAGCACTAAGTCACCAGCATTCGTGTCCTCTGAGAGAACTTGTGCCAAACACACACTTCACTTATGGGCTGGAGTCAGTCTTACCACGTCGCTGTTGGTCCCCAGGCAGCTAAATGTTTATCTGTTTTAAATTGATAACGTCAGGGAAAAACATTTCAAACCCAACCCAGATCCTTTTTTATGTTACTCTTAACTCACATACTCTGAAACTCCACTCCCCTCACCATGTACTGCCACCCAGCAGAGAATACCCTAAAAGATGTGTCATTGCTTTTGCATATACGGATTACTTATAAATTGAGTGTTGCCGAAAACTGTCCAGAGCTTCCAGTTTGCCCCTCTATGGGCCATGAAGCAATCTATTCCTCCTTTCTATTACTTTTTTCCCTTCCTGTTTTCCTGCTATAATCGAACGGAGTGAACTTTTAACCTTCCCATTGTTTTCTTTCTCCCAAAGTCCTCACCATTTGATTTGTCAGACATATCGATATGCCTCTGCGGTTCAATCCCAATTCAGTGCAGGAATGAATCATGTAGCTGCAGGCATGCAAGGGTTCAGCTATTTATGATAAATACTGCATTCACTATAAATCCGTGTTTTCCTACGCAAAGAAAGTACGCGCCAAGGAGGAAAGAAAACTGGAGAGTGCTTCAGCTTGAGTTTCAAAACAACAAAGAGGTTGTGATCCCAGTTTGGGTGCATGTTAACTGGATCTGAAAAGATGGGTATGGATCAGGGCAAGAAATCCATGGAGAGAGAGTAGAGACATAGTTTTATCAACAGTTTAAGATATCAGCATTTAAGTTCTGAAGATGGATGTGGTCTATATTGCCTTGCAAAAGGATTTATGTCTCTTAAATTTTTTTTTTTTTACAGTAAAAAGGGGTAAATCTATGGAGCTTAGCTGATATTTAATGACTAATAAAACCACAATAACACAATTGACTAGAAAGGCAAAAATGTTGCATGTTTTTAAAATTCAAGTCTGGTATCCATTACTATTCAGACCCCCTTATTCTGATATTTTTAAATATAATCGATTTTAACCGATCACACTCTAGTTATTTATTTAAATTCTTTATTAGAGAAAATTAGTTAAGAAACATAATGAAGACTATGAAGACAGATGGGAAGATTTTTAAAGCCAGATTAGACTATAAACTTGTATTCTAAGCTTTGGGATTAGAGATGCATCAAGAGTGCCCTTAAAAAAGTTCCCCATTCAACATCTGTTTTTGTCTATTATTTGTACCTTTATGCAAAATATCATACAGGGAATAAAAAAACTTACAATGCAAGTAAAACTGAGCACACCATCCTCAAAGAAGAACATGGTGGTGGCATCATACTGAGTTTAATAGCGAGAAAGGAAGGCTGACCAAAGCTAATGATGCAAGTAGCTAACGTAGAAATCTACATTGCTTTAGATTTCGGCATCAGACCCTATTCGGAAACTGGTGATTAGTTTAATCCAGATAGGATTTTTTTTGGGAAAAATCCATTGGCCGTGATAAAAGAGATATGAATAAAATCTGACAGCTGCTATTTGTCCAAATTCTGCAACATAATTTACTGATTACAGACAAGAATCCGTACTTTAAGTACAACTTGGGAGTTCTTGTTTCATGATTGCACTTCCTCAAATATCACATCATCTATATAATTATTTTGTCCTTGTTACATTTTAATGCAGCTGCAGGCATTCAGCCACACATGCATGACTTAAAAGAGTGAACCAAGCTAATGGATGACTAAATGTTTGAATTATTACAAGTTGTTGTGGCAACAGGTCTTGCATTTGTTTAATCATTAAGTACTTATTGCACACCACTCTTTGTTTGGTAGAAAAATTGTTTGACAATCAAGAAAAAGTTGATTCTAAAAATAAAAATTTGATTTATAAATACTTATTCATGACTGCCATCTAGTGGCTTATGTTTATTTAGCAACAAGTTAAAGGATTGAAAGCAAAACAGGAACAAGACAGATACTTTGCAAGATGCTGACTTTATTTAATACTTTTCTTCCACTTTTTAAGCATGTCATAGTCATACACCTCTTTTAAGTAATTTCTTCTATTCCATGTCCAAGTCATCCATTTCAATAGTAATCTCTTTCTTGAACCAAGGTAATTGCGGAGGCACGTATGGGTCATACGTCCAGCGAGGATACACTCTCTTGTACAAATTCATTAGCACGGTGTCTTGGGAGCGAAGCTGACTATCAAACACGCACTTCATGTGACCATGAGTTCCTGAAAGAATTAAAGCAAAGTATTAAGGAGTCACGTTTGGAAGGAGGATTCAGAAAAATTAGGAGCTGGGTAGTTTTCTCACCTAAAGCCTCTTTGATGTGACCTCTCCTGCCCCATTTTGTCCGCAGTTCCACAGGTTTGAACCACATGATGTCCTCTGTTGCAGAAATAATGAAAAAACAATATCAACTTAATGTTTCCGCAGACGGATAAAGAGTTTTAGACCGCCCTCTTACCTCTATTGAAGAACATGTATCGGACAACAGCTGAGCGCCTGTTGATTTTGAATGGGTGTCCACTCAGCACGATCCTCTTCAGGACAACGCGCTGAGGGTCGCAGCTGAGCACACTCCCTGTAGCCACAAGATCCTGAGCACCTGGAAATGATGGCGAAAAAAAGAACAAGGACTATGAACAATGAAAAAAAAACAAAACATGCTGAACAGAAACATCAACTGATCTTCTCACCATCGTTCCGTTGTTTGAAAAGCAGCACTCCAGCAGGAGGAAAGGTGATAGGGGCATAAACGGACACCACAGTGGGGGCATCAGGTCGGAGGAAGCGCTCCATCTTATGCTTGTCACCTTAAGTACAGCACATTACCATTAATATTTATTTGCTATTATACTGGCACACTAATTAACAAGATGTTTTCCAATTTTGTAAAACTTCACCAAATACTTTAATGCTTTTCATGTGATAAACCAACCAAAGAGACTTATATTAGGAAAATTATCATTTACTGATAAACTAAGCCAGGCTGAATCCCTTTCACTGGACAAATCCAAGAACATGACCGTCGCAGTGCTGTCTGCCTTGTCTACATGTCAGTGGGTTTGTTGAAGCAGGTGTATAATAGAATCTTATCTGTTTTCTCATGTTGACCAACAGGAGTTTTTATATGACCTTCATGATGCAGGATATCAAGGCAACGGGTCTAAGGTAAGGCTGTGGTCTGATCTTTTCTTTGGCATAAGGTCTTTCACATCACTGGAACTCTCCTGGGTCAGGCTTAGGTTGAAAAGGTGCTGTACAAATTAGGGATGGAACGGTTTATGAAAACCGTCCGAACCGTTCGGTCCGACTCTCGGTTCGATTTGCGTGTGTTGCGTTCGGTTCATGCGCTGCTCCTTTTTCTCATAGGTGAAGCGTTTACACTCCAGAGCAGAAGGTGGCGGTACTGCGACCAAAGCCACCACTAGTAAACAAGAAGAAGCAGCGAAGCAGCGTAGCCAGGTGTAGCAGAAAAAAAATCTGTTGTTGCGGAGAATTGTGAGTGACCTACGAAGACGGCGGAAAGAAAGTTGTGGATAAAAGTGCAACAGTGTGCAAGCATTGTGCAACACGTGTTGTACTATACAAGACATAATAGATTTTCCTAACAATCAACACATACCGAACAGAACCGATAACTGTGACCACGAAACCGTGAACCGAACCGTGGATTTTGTAAACCCTTCCACCCCTAGTAGAAATCCACAGAGCTGCTCTGCACAGGCCATCAGGACCTGGTGTCTTATTACGATTCAGTCTCTAATTCGCTTGACTTCTAGAGACAGACCGGTGGAAGACTGAGGGAGCAACACCATCTTTTGATTGGGGTGAGAACAAAGCAGAAGGGTCCATGACAGAGGTGGAAGATAAAATATTTGAGGTATGAGAGCGAAACCTTTGGGTAAAAGGAAGGCAGGCTGTTCTTTTGACTACAGGCAGGAGAAAAGGATGTTTAACTTTTTCATGAACCGAACCACTTCAAGAATGTGTTTAGTTCATTGAAACCATCATGACATCCATCTTTTTAACGTTCCTCCTGCTGGAAGCCTGTGATCTTCTTCACCCTGACCCCAGATCTTTGACATTTTTCTGTTAGGGCTTTTTTTCTAGCTTCTTATCTTGGCTTTAATTGGATTCCCTGCAGATCATTGCTGATTCAGAGTTTATTATATGGGTATCATATCAGTATCAGCCAATATGTGCATTCGGCAACCAAGCCTTGAGATCATGTTGCTAAAATTTCTATATTTTCTGCTTAATTGTTAATGCATTTCCTTGTTTGTTGACATTGAGAACTGTGGAATATTTGCTATTATGGTGTCATTTTCACAATGCAGGAAGAATCAGCCTAAAAATATCGGGAGCATATCAAGAATCAGTTAGACTGCCATCCTTAAAGCTGATCAGTATTAAAAAACCCTGCATCTTATGATCTCTACTCTTTAGTGAAAGTTGCCTTTTATAAAAAGCCTTATATTCCAAGCATAGAAAAAAACAAGAACATGATTTGATTTCCCGACAGGAGGTCTTTTAGTATGTACTTGTCCTTGACAATCCAAAGTTTGTTTTTCTCTGGTACAGCAGTTCACAAATGGTTGAAAGGTTGGCAGAGTAGCAGAAAATGTGATTAAAAACACCAGTTTTTGTAGATAAAGAGGTGTCTAGATTAGCGACAATGGAATTGATGACATTACATGCAGAAAGTTGGAATGTAAACAATTGCCAAAATAACACGGGTGAACTTTCTGGGTAAATAATTTGGTTGAAAACTGCCAATAGTTCAATATCTGGATTGCAGAGACCAAATTTCAGTTACATGTCCATCTGTTGCTCCAAAGTACTGCCAAAACACATTCCTTGAGTTTTCCAGCCTTCTTTAAATCTCCATCTGATTGTGTGGTCCAAAGGCCCTGGAAAGAGTTACTGGAGTCGAGGATATGATCTAGTCGCCATATTTCAGAAAAACACATAATGCTGCATTTTTAATATTCTGGCGACGCCCCTGCAAGGATTTGGAGTTCTCATTTTTCCCCCCAAATATCTTCACATGGCCTATAATGATGGAAAACTTGTCCTCTCCTTTTCTTGCTCCTGCTACTGTATGCATCCCCATTACCTCCTTTTCAACTTAGCTGGGAATTGCTGAGTTACTATTATTTTAGCTATTAAGATGTTAATGAGGTGCTCCAAGGTGTAAGAACAACTTTCTATGGTTGGTATAGGTAAGCATCACAATAAATGTCAAAAATAAAAATAAAAAACAATCAACTGCACAGGATCAAAGACCAAAGGTAAAAACATAAACACAAATAGACACTACAAATAGAGGAACTACTGTTTTTTTAAAGGGAATATTAAAATTCAGGTTAGCAGAGTTCAATTCTCACAGTTCTAAAAAAAAAAAAATATATATATATATATATATATATATATATATATATATATATATATATATATATACACACACACACACAAGAAAAATAGTCTCGTTTTTTTACAAAGGGAATCTGTAAATCACTGTAAAGACTTGCAAGTCTGCCTGGTTGCACACAGAAACACAGCAAAAGAGAAAAAAAGTATGGACTTTTCTTACATTTAATAATTATTGTTTTCCTATTTTTAAAGGTGCTGTACTTCTGAATAATAAATCGTTTACCTGTAGTGTGCTGAGAGAATATAGGGCAAGCACGAAACCTTCTAAATCCACAGTGAAACACAAGTTCCTCCTTGGATTTGATAGGCTCTGTGTTGCTGGGGTGTCTGTGCACCAAAAGGTGCATCACTGACATCTGTTCAAAACAGAAAAAAAAACTGAGTCCAAAACTGAGCATGCTTTGCAGTCAATGACTAGAACTTAGATGTTAGGAAGCCAATACCTTTTGCTCGTGGGGCAACAGAGACACCAGCACCAGGGGCTTTCCAGACTGGACGCTCTCCATCACAGAGAAAGGAACATCAATGATGTGCAGTGTTACATACCAGCCATCCTAAAATGAAGAGTAAGTTGCAAAAGGTCATTTCAAACAAATAAATTTTTTCCCAGTTAAAGACAACTGCTGTGTTTTATACCATGGCTCCATTCTCATCAGCTGCAGCTTCTGCCAATATTCTACGGCGAGTGCGTTCAAAGCTCTGGAACTGGAATATGCGTGAATAATCAAGAGGCAAGTTCTCCATGGGGTCCCAAGGTGAGGAGCGGAAACTTTTTAGGCCCCTGTAGCGCTGGAATCTTAGTGATGATTGAAAAAAAAAAAAAAAAGAAACAGTAAATGCACAGGTCAACAAAGTTCTCAACTGTGTTTTTGACAGCCATCTTAGATTTAGTCTTAGTCTTCAGGACAAAAAAATATTATTAGTCTTTTAGTCATTTTACTCATTACGATATCTAATTTTTTGTTTTAATTGACTAAAACTTAAAGAGGTTTTAGTTTAGGTTTAGTCAGTATTATGTTGCAAAAAAAAAGTTAACCTTTACAATTTCGAATAACAACCTGATTCTTTACCAGACTGACAGCTCTAGCCTAGATACTACAATAATAGCGTATAGAATGCTGCTGTGCAGTTCATCATTACTGTTGGGCAGAAAACTTTGATTTAAAGAAGTCAACTAAACTTTTTTTATGAATTAATGCCCTACTTTATAAAAAAAAAGTGTCACAGAAAAGTTTTGAAAATAGCAGATCTAGTTCAGCACATCATATTGGTTGATATAGCAGACAGGCAAGATAACAAAATATACAATAAAGGAATGATTTTAAACATACAAGGTTTCCATCATAAAACACTTCATCTTCTATGAATTATGCATTACACACAGATCAATAAAATCTTCATTGCTCCGAAAAAGCAAAGAACAAAAGCATTCTTCTTTCTACTTTGACAATTTTGCCATTTTTTCTAAGGAATTTGCCCCTTTGTTACTACTGCTCAGGGGTCAAAGTAGATTTAAATTCACAGGGTTTTAATATAAAAAAAATTAAATTAATATGCTACTAAAATGTTGAAATATTTAAAGGAAACAGAGAAAATGTTTTAATGACGATACATGGAAACATTTACATCATATTTCCTTTTGGTAGAAATTAAAGAATGTTTAGTATCACCTATTGTGAAGTGGAAGAAATAAAATCCTGATAGTCAGACAAAGGTATTTTTAACACTTGGCAGAGGATGATCAGCCACATAGTTTATTAAGTAGCGAGAGCAGGAAGAGTCATACTGCTGAGAGTGAACCATAAAGTTTAGTGTGAAGCGCAGAGTCGGAGCTTCGCGCGCAAAGACTAATTTCTGCACAAGACTCTGCCGCTGCTGCCACGATCCATCTGTGCTTCTGCAGCATGTGCAACGCTGGGCAGCAGATGGGTGGCAGGATCAAACAGGACGCAGCAGCACAGCTGATACTGCTTAGCTGAATGCACCACAATGATGCAGTTTAAACATCTGACCGACGACCCGCTGATTTTCATTTAGTCTCGTCAACTGAAACTCAAACCTACGACTAGTCATGTTTTAGTCATCAAAGATCCGTGTTTAGCTCATCAGTTTTTGTTATCGTTATGAAAAAAAGGAGTGTCAATGAAATTATTTCGTCTTCACATCATTGGTTGCGAATAATCCTTGTTTTCTAGGAGAAAAACCCACAATGGACACAGGAATAACTTTAATCTGACAAAATACATAAAAATTCTATGAAAATTAACAAAAAGTCAAACATTGCCTTACAATTATCCTTCAGCAGAACGATTAAAAAAAATCTAAACCCATGAAACAGGTCTGGACAAATGGTTGGTACTTCTAATAAAGACTGAAATTAATGTGACCTAAGGGACATGTTCAATCAAGATGTGTCCACTAATTATTAAAGATGTAAATAAAAGATCATTTTCTTGCAATTTTTCATAATAAAGTATATACTTCCTACTAGAAAGCCCACTAACCTGATCCTAGCTGCAGCATCTAGGGGCGTGTCCACCTCATCAGGAAACATCTCATGGGATCGAGCCTCCCGGTAGCGTTTCAAACCTTCTTGTTCAGCTTCTTCATCCATGTTGTCGTCATACCGCTGATCTGCTCCACCTTTCTCTGTGGAGCACAACTCCTCTTCTTCCTCTTCGTCTTCTGAAGCAACCTGGGAACCAGCCTCCTGGATGGACACAGCCCATAAGATTTAAGAGCCAAAGAAGAGTCCAATAAAGAAAGCAGCTGGTTCAAAAATGTTTCTTTAGTTTTAGATTTTTTATTTTTTTTTTAACACAAAGAAAAAAAAAATAGCATTTAGTTTAAGGGTTTTTTTAATATAATTTAGATCAGAAGCAGGTAGAGTTGCTTTCCAGTTAAAATGTATTGAAGCTCGTTTCAACATGGTAATGCCTCCTAAACTGTAGCTTTAATATTTGCCAGGCAAGCATTCAGTGGGCATAAGTGCATTCAGACAGATTCTAAGTATTGAAAATAGAATTGTTAAATAGTCAACTGAGAGGTAATAAACTGTGTTCATCAACTCATATTAAAGCAGCAGCATTTCCTGGAAAACTTTCATTGATTTTGTTGAAGATCCTTAACCGATGAAGTCAGCATGAATGTCATATCGTCTTATATTTCCTGACATTACTGCTCTTGTGTGTTTCAGCCTTTTTCGGGGTACTTTTGTTTATTTTCATTATTTCATGTTTGCATCTGTTTTTGCAAACATTATGGAGTAAGTAATGTCTCCAACTTATATCTGATGGAAATCTTGCTTTGCATACATTTAAATGGAGGATGCAAAGTACTGGACGGGGCCAGACATCCTCCCTTATCACAACATCTACTGATTTAACTTCCTGTTACAAAACACATATAGGAGGAATGAGTCATCAAAGGGGCCATGATGTGTAGTAGTCGCTCTGATGGCAAATTACATAAGAATTCAGACAAATGAGCGGAAAAAAAGCAAAAAAACAACACCGAATGGGGTAGATCCACAACGTTTCCAACATCCTTGCTGCAGTAATAATAATCACTATCATTTGAAGTGCCCCTTCGCCTATTGTTACCCTCTACCACATACGTATTTCTGCCTGCTAACCTCAACATCAAATGGACGTTATTAACAATTAGGCATCGTAATGAGTCCGTTTCATAAGGTCAGTTTCCCCAACTCCTTTTCAAGCACCTCTAGAAACAAATAAATGTTCAACCCCTCCCTTCGTCGAGACAGGAAGTTCTGTTCACAAGACAGGAAGACAGGAGGCTTCTCTCGGGACTCTGGCTCTAAACACTATTGTTGTGGTGTGGTTAGTAGCCTGGCACTGCAGGCTAGAGACAGACACAGAAAACAAACAGTGCCTCTAAGCAGAGAGGTGCACCATGCGTGGGTCACGTATGCACCACTCCGGGCCTGGAAACATGGCTGCAGCACAGATCACTGACCTGATCACTATGAAAATGACTGTGGTGTCTGTACCGCCTTTGAAGGGTTTTCATAAACACGGAAATTTTGGACCTTTTGTCAATTAAACAAACTTCTGTAGTGTTCAACTTGTGTGCCTGTTTGCAAGAGTAGTAAAAACCTCTGGCTTGTCATCCATGGCAAAGTTTGCTTTGACCTCGGGATTCCATCTTAGCACTAGATTTATGTATAAATCTTATCTCTATAGCTCCCTCAAATAAAGGCAGCTTCAACTCTAACAAGCTTCAAAAAAGATTTGATCCAGTTTGAAAGGGATTCACTGGAGTCTATTAAACTGAACACTCTGTAGAGAATAATTGCTTGGAGATAAAAAGATACATCGGTTTGGTTTAAAAATGTTTAACAAATAGAAATCCCAAAGGTCTGGCATGCATTTGTATTTTTAGAAAGCAGAACAAATAGTTGTCCTGTTGAAAGGTGAGCTTCTGCAGCTCACCCACATACACACTCAGCCTTTTGGTTGCTTGATTGATGCTATGATTACACAACCTGACTGTTAAGGCGGACAACCATGTCTTTATATGTTTGCAGTTGTGACGTTCTTTTTGTGAGGAATGGATTAAACATTGGTCCTTTGGTTGTTTAAGGCTTGAGACATTGGGTTAAACCCAACAGCGCTTTATTTTTCTCCACAACTTTGTCTCTGGTCTGTCTACTGTGTGCCTTGCTCTTTAAGATGCTGATTCACTATAACTATAATGCTCTATAAACTTTTATATACCAGCTGTTAGAGCTTGACCATAATTCAATATAAACTTATATTGCAATATAATTTTATTCAATGCACATATGACATCTGAACACATTAAGTGTATTTCTACATAGGGTGCAGTCTGTGGTTTCAGAGTTTGTAACCGACCAGATGCAGCCAATTCAACCCAAACAGAAAGAGCTGCAGCACATTGGCTACATGAACAGTGATGCACACAGACAGGGAGCCTGGGATCTCTGCAGCTGTAGGCTGTGCAGCTTATGCTCCGACACGGTAAGTTTTAGCTACAAAATTAGCACCCATGACAACATAACCAAAGCAGAAAGAAGCCATCTCCACAAATGTCTCCGACTTTAATGTCTGATTAATGAGTAACAGATTGTTGCTTGCAGACCATGTAGAAAGCATGTTGCTCTTAAAGCAACAGGTGGCCATGCAGCTTTCATTTGCAGTCAGGGTAGAAAGGCAGAGCGTAGTCTTAACAAAAAAAGAGGAAAGTGCAAGCTTGTGGCCACCAATACTGAGCCATCCTGTTTCATTATGGGCAGTTTGAATCGATTAATTTTGTTCTGACGGAGCTGACACTTGCTGAGATAAAGGTCTGGCTCAAATGTTACCAGAGCCTCAACGCTCACTGCACAGGTTAAAAAAAGTAAAAATAAATGGGATGGAATTTGTTTTGTTTTTAATAAAAGTGAAAACTTCAAAATAAACCAAGCTTTTGCTTTTTTTTTATTACTTCTTTTGTTAATTTAGTCTAGTTATATGTATACAGGTGCTGGTCATAAAATTAGAATATCATGAAAAAGTAGATTGATTTCAGTAATTCCATTTAAAAAGTGAAACTTGTATATTATATTCATA